TGCCGACAGTACACTAAGCCGCCCCCAGGCGGCTCGAGAACCAATCTTCAATTTTAGCTTAGATTCTATTGCAATCCACATATCCATGTTAAATTAAGGTCATAATATAATGTTGACTTCCGGGTCCAGCATTTCCACTGAAAATCGGAAATTTAGATTCAGTTTTAAAACGCGATTTCGTAGTTTATTCGACTTTGTTTTATATCGCGATGCCAAAATTACAGCCCGGACACCAGTCTTAGTAATTTTACACAACAAAATCTATCATTATTTTTCCCACTAAAGAAATGTAGGACTCTTTTTTATAATATTGATACGATTGGCCTCATATTGCCAATGCACTATTATTGAGAAATCAATATTTTTTAGTGATATATCTAGATTCTAGGTCTAGATCTAAATTGTCAAAATATTTTTTCTCTCCCCAAAACTACTACTCTTTGATGAAACTACACAAAAGGTGCCACTCAAGACACGTATAGGTTTATTCCAAATGCAATTCTGAATAATTCCATATTAGGTACTAGTGGGGTTTTTCCTGTTTATGATCGTTTTTCAAGATTATAAATTAAAAATTTTTTTTTTTCAATATCGGATGTTATGATCCAAATGTACAAATATTATGGAATGTATGTAAATAACTGCAAACTTTTCAATATTTTCCAGTTCTATATTCATTTATGGTTATTTTGATGTATCATTTGACTAGGTGCAAACATATTTTTTTAGTTTCACCAAAGATTATTAATTTTTTATTTTCCAATTTTATCCGCATCCAATCAAAATTGTGTTGCATAATCACCTCTTACAGGAACCAAAGTTGAAAAATACATAAATAAACATTACAAATGTATTCTACAAATCATACCAAAAATATTGGTATACAATAATATAATATGTTGATATTTATTTGAATTTGTGGCCCCAAAGCCTTTTTAACAGCCCACTAGTCATCATCTCATTCGCCCTCCCGAAAAAAATTCGTCCGCAAGCTGAAAATAATCCGTAGCGAATGAGTTAAAAATAGATGAACAATTTATGACAAAGGTGAAAAAAAAAAAATGCTTTGAGTTCAAGAGACACAAAATCGATATTGCACCCTCCCCTCCCAGAAAAAAAAATTTTTTAAAGCACAAAACAAGGAATTCTCCAATCATGACAAAAACACAGAAAAAGAGAAAGATTCATACCCTGTCAATCCTATGTTTATGCACAAGTCCATCTTTTCCTATGTGGAAATAGGAGAATGCCTCTAACCACCTGAAACATGAGGAGAAAAAAAAGAATTCATGAACCTGAAAGTGAATAAGAGATTTTGTGAGAAGTATCACATACACAGATCTAAATCTGAAAAGCTTTACAGTACCAGTAATCAAAAATATTTCCTCAAGTATGGTCTTAAGGAATTAGGAAAGAAAAGTATTCTCCATTAACACTCGATAAATTACTATGAAGGAAAAAAAGAGAAATGGACAAGACAACACAACGACACAGACAAATTCAAATTCAAGAAAGAATTTTAAAAAACAAAATCTGAACCCCCTCCCCCCCAGAAAAGTTGACAAACTGGTGGTGTGAACTGGAAAACAGGCAAAGATTAATCATTAACAAACAAACCAAAAAAAAAAAAAAAAAAAGAAAAAAGAAAACATCGAAAGACAAGAGGTGCATTAACGACAAAAATCCCACAAAAGTTGACAAACCAATTACAAACAAGAGTCCCCTACACCATTCACAAGCCTTTTCATGAGAAGGCTGAACTGAACTACACCTGCAAGCCAACCCCATTACCTTCCACAAACCTCAAAGTTCATGAATGCAACAAAAACAAAAGCAATTAATTTTTTCAACAAACCCAACCTAAACACTTCTAAATCAAAATAGGAAAATGGTTCATTCCACAAAACTCACTCCCAGTCTTCCTTCAGGATCGTGTTCTTGCTCTGAAAGAGCCTCCAAAACTTGAGCACCTGAATCTGTGAAACGCCCTTGAGACGCCAGTGGATGCGGATGACTCCGCTTTGCTCCAGGCTCGTCACATTCATAATCTCCATGGCTGTGCTCGAGTACCGCACGTGGATACGGAACCGAAGCTTCAGCAGCTCCATGGCATAGGCTGTCACACCTCTGGGAATCAGTTTTTAAGTTTTATAGTATTAGTTTTAAGTAAGGGTATTATGGCACCTGCAACACAATTTGGTCATATATAAGTGCCGAAGATTAGAGGTGTTAGAAGAAACAAACCCCAAAAAAGGAGGAGAGATACGGCCAATAGATGTTTGATTTTGTTTTTTGTTTTTTGTAAAGTGATTTACGGCGCTCGCAACTGCATGAAGTCATATGAGCGCGCGGGACACACCTAATATTTTCAGTTGGTAGGAAATTTTGAATTTTGCCCGGGTGGCTAGATGTTTGATGGGAAAGAGGGAGCAATCCACACCAGAGCACCTCCAGAGTCAGTTTGAAATGGTATAATTGAAAGAAAAAAACCAAAACATAAACGACCACAACAAGACACCAAAATACAATACAATAGCACGAATGCCCTGTACAACAATATAAATGCAAAAACAAAAAGATTGCATGCTTTGACAGTAATCCTTTACTTAGCCTTAATATTAATATCCTTTACAGTCTGAAAGTGTGCTACAAGAGGCTTATTTTAATGTTTTCCACTATACAGGCTTCAGGGTACCCCCCGGGTAACATGGGAATGTGTTTCCAAGGAAACTTAGAATTGGCTAAAAATGTACAAATAACGAAAGGCATAAATCTACCAGCCACAAAACTGATTACATTTGAACCAAAAGATCTTTGAACAGATGCCAGGAACAAAGAGGAGTGTTGATTACATTTTATCTATTGAAATAGATTATAAATACTGGTACTGAATAGTTTGATAAAATACTGCACTAGACTTTGATCTTTCCTGCCTCTCATTCAATCAATATGAAGTCCAAAAAGTACTCAGGTATTCTAGTCTAGTACTATGAAAATAACACAAGAAGCACAACAGAAATGTATTTGTTCTTACAATTTGTTTCCAACCTTTCCAGGTTGGCTGGATAGAAGACTTAGTGTGCGAGGCACATCAACGCAATAATAATGGTCAACTAGTGCTCAGAAAAAGCAAGAAATGTACATATAATAATAATAATAATAATAATAAAAATAAATAGCATTTTTATACTGCGCATTTCCATTTCCTAAAAGATGCTCAATGCGCATTACAACGAAAAAGACATCACATCTTAAAAATGAATAGCTATACGTGTACGTAAAACAAAGTATTATAATATAAATGCATATGTGTAAAAATTTATATGAGAAAAACAGTCTCGCAGTGAGGTTGGAAATGTGTTCACTAAAAATATACAATGCAATAAAAATATATGCAGAGGAAGAAACAAAAGATGGAAAGCGAAAAAGTAGGACACCAGTGGCACCCTTCCACTGCCAGCAGAGAGGGGACTGACAATCATTGACAATGAGACAATGGCAAAAAAGGTCAGGACCAACCTGCTAACTTTATTGTCCCCAAACAGGTTGTTCTCCAATATTACTTGCTTGTGGAGAATGCCGTAGTCATGACGACCTTTGAACAGGTTTGTAACCTACAGGGAAACAAAGGGGACAAAATGGGAAAGAAAAAAACAAGAGTTAACAAAACTAAGATTTCAACTCATGGCCAAGTTTCATAAAATTCCCAAGTTTAATTCATATTACAACCATGGGTCAGTTGAGTCAGTAGAAGACTGTAACGCAAAGCTCATGAATGCATACAAACATTATGACATCTTTAATTTTCAGTTTTCTAAAACAACAGGATAGACCCGATGAAGAAATGAATTAACGTTTAGTTTTACTTTAATCCTTTTTCCCTGAAATACAGAAGAAAGAAAGCATTTATATGGAAACCTAATGGTTGCACTGTGAAATTTGAATCTAGAATTGTAAGAGAAGCACATTGAAACAATGATAATTTCAAATGATTGCGAGTGCTAGGCAAAAAAGTTTAGTTTTAGTAGAGTTGTTTTTTTGTGCTTGCAACTGCATATAAGGCCATATGACCGCCAGAAGATTAGAGGTGTTACAAGAGGGTAACAAACATAAAAAAGAAGAAGGGGAGATAAGGACGATAGATGTTTGATAGGAAAGAAGAAGCAAACCACACCAGAGCACCCGCCAACCACTCACAAGGCCACCCCCCCCCCCCCAAAAAAAAACAACAACAATCCAACCCACAAGTGAGACAAGAAGAACAATACTGGAATCGTGAAGTACAACAAACTGCAGGTGACGTCCAACTACCCTAAAACGATACTGGTCTGGAAAAGACTAGAAGAGCCCAGAGTTAGACTAGAGCAACAGGACCTCATGGGTAGCACAAGATTTCGATTTCAACTGTCAGTGAATGTCAGAACCTTGGAAACCAACACTTACATTTACAGCAAAGCAAACGTTTACATACCATACGTGAGGTAGCTTGGTGATATCAGGTGCTCATCAAATAATGAAAGTAAAGAAACTTACACTAGTGACTTTTCCGCTGGTTTGGCAATTTTGATCGAACCTGTGTTTTTTTAGCTCAGCACCTTCTAGATCTATGTCCATAATCAATTTCAGTGTGAATTATATTGAAAAACGTTGATTAAAGGCAAAAAACAAATTGTAAGAGTTTCCAACGACTCTGAGGCTTTGTAAAAAAACAAACTTTTTTTCATTTTGGCAACCATTTTCTCACTAATTTTATTACTGAGACTAGGCAACACCACCTCACTAAATCGCAAATATCTAAACATGTACTTAAGAAGAATGGGCAAAGCAAGGCAAACCAGCTTAAATAAGGTGATACCAATAACTCCACATATGCCCAAAAATTGATGATCGCCTCATTCCACCGGGTCGTGACACAAACACACATGAAAAGCTTACCAGTGCCTCCAGTTTTTCCTTTACGTTGTGCATTTGTTCTGGTGAAGGCCCATCTTTTGAGGATTCAGAGGAGCTCTGACTGTCTCGGCTTCCACTCGCAGAAAAAAACACAGTATGCACATTAGGGATTGCAGCATTGGCAGGTGATAAGTCTTGATTAACTCTTTGGCTCTCACTTCCTCTAGAGAGTTCTTCAACAGAATGAATGTTCTTTCTCCACACATCGCAGTGCGGCATACGGAAATCTCGAAAGGATGGGCAGGTCAGAGGTGTTGGTGCCAAAATATCTATAGGTATTCTTTCATTGACAGATTGGAGGAGATCACAGTCGAAGGGTCCACCCAGAGGGTCAACCAGTATATCATCACAGGTCAGTCTTACAGACTTAACAGCCTTTGAAACGAAGTCTATTTCTTCAGAGGAAGAGGAAGCTCTCTTCAAAGATTCGCTCAAAAGAATGTCTTTCACATCTTTGTATGACATCGGCAGAAGAGACTCAGCCGGTGGTATGATGACGGGCAGCAGATTGTGAGCAATTTCATTTGCCGATGTGACTGACCCCTCACCTGTTCTGGTGGGTGCGGTTTGGTTTGGTATGGATGAGGATGTTCTGTGCAGTCGTGACACATTTGGAGATGATCCATCAGAAAGTGACTGTGGGAACAGAAAAAAAACACAAACCTTGTAAGTCTACAACACAAAGACAAGGATTTTAGAATAAAACACAGGCATAGTTTTCTGATCTGGATGATAGTTTTCATTGCAACACAGAACTTTTAAAAAGCCCTTGGCCTTGTTTTAATTTGTATTCTTTTTTACTTTCCGTCCCATCTCACACGTAGCTCTACAACTAGGCCTACTAGATGGCCTTTTCTATAACATATTGATGCACTTTTACTTTCACTCTCGCACACAGATGGACTGCTCTGAGGTCAAACTGCAGTATTAGGCTAGGCCACCTATATATTGTCACCCCTGGAGAGAATAGCTTATGACCCGCTATTCTCACCCCCACCCCGGGGAGAGCATGAGGTGAGCCTTAATGTTCTTAAAATTAGGCTAGATCTAGATCTATAATTGTGAGGACCCGTAGGTATCAGCTGCGTTCCGGTCTTGACATTTCGTCCTTGCGTAACCATAGATCTAGACTAGATTTCTAGTCTAGATCTAGAATAGATCAGGTTTTTTCCACTGTTACATTGTTTGCTGTTCATAGTGTGAAATGGCCTTCACCCCATCCCATTAAATAAAAACTAAGGTAGTGTTAATTGCGACAGAGAGACAACTAACACAGCGTTAATTGTGACAGAGTGAACACGGAGCTCTTTTACGTCAATATAAGAATCTAAAGTTGGTTCGTAATCGAGGCATACGTCTCATTCAAAACATGCAAGTTGGTAGCTCTAGATGTTGGCACTTTTTCGTCTGTTACCCCAGGCCGGGCCTGGCCGCCATCTTGGCTCGGTAGTAATCGGGCGGTGTTTCTACCTGTTCTGTTCAGTAATCGATAGGCCTAGGCCTATAGAGTCGAGTGTCGAGCATCGTCGTCTTGGCCTAGCCCTAGATTGTTTGGTCATAATATGACTTTGTTAACGTTGTTTTGTTGTTTGACTTTGTTAACGTTGTTTTGTAGTGTAGGACCTCCTGACGCTACCGCGCCCTTCTGTGAATAAAATTATAAGACTACTAGTACTACTAGTTACTAGATCTAACATTCATTTATTACGATCGTCACAATCACATTCCAGAAAAGAGAGATGGAGAGAGAGAGAAAGAGACAGAGATGATTTAAAGAGAGAAAGAGGGATCAAAGAGAGAGAGAGAGAAGG